TTCTCTTCTCTGGAGATGGCAGGGAAGGGTGCCCCAAGGAGAGGCAGCGGGGGCTCTATGGCTGGGGTCGTGCTGCCTGCAGGGCAGCCAGGAGCCTTGGGGGGAGCCTCCCCTCTCCTGCGGGTCCCAGGCTGGGGCATGGCAGAGGGCTTGAGAATTGCCACTGGGCAAGCCTCCCTTGAGCAGGCATTCAAGGTCATGTTCATCGTTCTGGATGGATGGAGAAATCCCCAAATAGTATTAATTCTCAGTGAAAGCAGACTTCTCAAGTGGGCGTTGCTTATCAATGCCTTTCCTGTGCATCTAGTCCATAGAGCCTTTTTCTGTTAGTCCAGCATTTGTCATCCCTTTTACTCCTTGAGCACTCTCTGTGCCTTGTGTAGGGGTGTAGGAGATGGGCTAGCCTGATGAGGTGTAGGCTTTCTTCATTTCAGCAGAATTCTACAAAAATGTATTCCTTTAAAAGAGGGCTGGATGAGAAGCCCTTCTATTGCATCAACAAACTTACACTGTGCCAAACCAGTAGCTTGTCATAACATCTTGTGTTCTTGCTGCTGTCTGTCACAGGCCTCCAAGGTGGATTTTTCTTTTAAACTGGGATTATTTTTTAACGCCGCTATCTTGGGACTGGGTGCCAGGCACAAGATCTGAATCTGGCTTGTGTGCTGGAAGAGAAGCCTGAGAACTGAAAGTTCATCTGCTTGGGTTCAACTGGTCTCTTTGCTGCTGCACTCAGTGGAGCACGCAAAATCCTTATGTTTTGTCTTAGTCTGATAGAAAAATATAGCCTTCAAGTTTGTGACAGTGTCTAAGACAAGTTTTTAAAAAATACAGGCTTTCTTCTGCGTGCAAACACCTTAGTGAGGATAAAGGGACATACTTGAGAAAGTTCTCTGTGCCATGCAAGAGTTTCCCGCTGGCACTGAATTCTGCCAGAAATACTGATGTTTTATTTCCATTTTTGTGAAAATATAAATTGTACATTATCTTAGGCATTTTCAGAAGTTTCATTTAAGTTTTACCTTAGCAGGAGCCTTAAATACATGTTATTTTATTAATACAATGCAAAAAAATATCTCTGGAAAGCATCAGCTTGGTCCTTTTCTGGTTGGGTTGGTTTTGAACAGAGAAATTGTAAGCAGCGTTGTGAGTAGAATTACAAACAAGCCACAAAGTATTTGAGCTTAAATACGTTGGAGACACAGGGACCATGCACAGCAAAGCGGAGTTTTATGGCAGAGTTTTATACATTTGGAAGGTTTTTAGAGCTCTGCCTGTTTTGTGTGCTTGGGAGGCACTGGCACGCTCCACGTCCAGACAGGCTGTAACTTTCTGCCCGGAGCTGTCACAGGTAATCAGAGATCAGATGTGAAGTCAGCGTCAGCAAGGCTCTCTGGGAATAACAGTTTATTATTAGTAGCCTTTAGTAAGGTTTTGACACAAATAACTGTGTTTTGTCAATTTGCACGTGCCAGGACACTTCCCAAGTGCTTCCATGGCACTTACGGCTGATCCGGTCTAAGGAGGGTTTGCACAATCCAACACTGGACCGGAGAGCAAAGAGGAGAGGCAGTTTCTGCCTTGGGTCCTGCAGCTTTGGTGGGTGTGGGAGGGCAGGCAATGGGAGGCCCATCACCCACTCCCACATCTGGAAGCATCTGGCGGAAACACGGACATTTTGGGGGTGGCTACCTGGGCTACGCCTGGGTCTTATTTATGTTTTCCATTCCCAGGAGCACCCTGGAGCATGCATGGTAGACTGGGTTTTACTTTCAGAGAATGCTGTGTGAAATAATCCAGTAAATCTTGTTTTTACAGATCGTTTTATAACACTTGAAAAAATACGTAAGGAAAGTGGATTTTTGTCTTGTGTGCAAAAAGCAGCCCTTAGGGGCCACATCAGAGATGAACAGAGAGAACCATCTTGGCTTAAATTAAATAAAAAAGAATGAAAGCCACTTCTGTGGTTTAACCTATGCATATTTTTCTTGATTTAGGGCCAGCACTACATTTGGTGTTTAAGGCACTTGTGGTTTTCCAAGTTCCTCTTCTTTCCAACTACTTACCAGTTTTATTTTCTGCTTTGTGCCCACTTGCTCTTTGGATGTACCATCAATAAGTACGTGTCCTAAGTGTGGGCAGTAGGTGAACAGCGATGTATTTTCAGCAGTAACCTATATATGCAACATACAAGATGGTATAAAATACTGTATTTTTAGAGGTCGATGGATTTTCTTTCTGTTTATAATATCAGGTCTTATTTAATGGGAAGTAGCATAGGGCTTCACTAAGTGTGTACTCTGCAAATGCCTCTGAGCACAAGTCCTGGATCATTCAGAGCCAAGTTCAGAGCTTGTTTCAGGTAAGATGGACGCATTGGTTGAGTAATTACCAGTGAAGGATTCTGTGCCTTGGTTTTTTCACAGGATTGTGCAGTAGAAGAGGAAAACTTGTATGTGGATTTATAAAATAAGGACCAAAGCACTTCAATTTTCAGTAAGGCAAGCAGGTCATAAGGGCTTTTAGCCTAGATGTAAAAGAGGTCTGGTGGTGCCATGCACTTGAAAACAAGTAAGTTACCACTTGCTCTTATTTTTAACCGTGAGGAAAGGAAGGTGGTCAGACCTGCTTTCACAGCAATGAATCTTGGTAGGAAAGAAAAAAGAATTGAGTTTTAATTCCTTTTGGAACTTTACAAAATGATACCAAGAAGACAGTCCCTTTTTGTGGCGGTGATCGAAGAGGGACAGGGAATACTTACGGCAACCAGTACTTTGTCCCAGGTCAGCAGAGGGAAAGCTGGGCTCAGCGTAGGTTGCCCAACGGAGGATACCTCAGGGACGTGGTGCCCAAGGACAGGAGCTGTGGCTTTCATACTTCAGCTGCTGCAGGGGACTGTGGTCACATCCAGCATCTCCCAGGGGCTTCAACACTCACCAGAGACGAAGCTTGTGCTATACGTGTATGATCAGATGACATAACATGGTTAGAGGTGTTTCTGGAAAGCTGTTGTAGGTGCAGATTTGTCTGCTGAGAATTGGATCATTAAAGTAGTTTTTAGGAAAATACAACATTGCTGGATTGCCTTCCAGTCACAAACACTGGTGAATACCTGCTGAAACACTGTCTTCTGTATGCTGCCCTTTTTATTTTCTTGAATTAGAGCTTTTCCCTTGTGCGCTATTTTAGTTTCTTGCTCTGCTGAGCTACTGTTAGTAAAGAAGTCTCAGTCCTTCCGCTAAGAAGCCAGCCCATTGCAGCACTGCTGTTGTTGTTGCAGGGAGCTCTCGGTACCCAGAGCTGAGGCATCTGCGTGAAATCTTTTCTGTGATGATGCGTTTGCAATAATCTATTAATCTGCTCTAATAATCTACTCTACTTTCACTGTATTTTCCTGATAAGTGAAATTATATTTGAATAAATCCTAGTACTTATAAACTCCTAGTTTGAACTGGAAGGATGTTTTAATAGATGGTCTCAAATCTGCTGAAAAGCAGATTTTATGGTAGAAATGCTAATGAAGCTTCAGCAGCAGCAGCAACTGGCAGCCATACTGAAGAAATTCAGGGGTTGTATATTTGGGTGGCAGAGATCAGTAAGTAGATTTGTGCCATCTGAATCTATTTTTGTCAGCAAAATTGGCTTTAATATTTTATGCTTATTAAAAAAAAAAAACAAAACCAAAATCTGTATCACTGTGAAAGTTTCTGCATTTTGAGGCCAGCTCTCAGCTAATCTTCCCAAGCAGTCTGTACGAGTCACGATTCAAAGTCTTTATTCAAAAGGTCACATTCTGATTTAATACCATTAGCATAAACCCACGATAATTTTGTTGATGTGGATGGGGGTGCTTGTCGTTTCGGTTTTTTGATCTTAATATAAATCTGGGCAAGAGTATATTGCATTTGTGAAGCTAATGCCATGTTCTTGAGCACATCACAGGAAGGTGAAGATTCATTTTCCACATTTAGATGAATCCTTTCTACATGATGCAGGTCACCCCTCACTCCAGCAAGATGCTGGTAGTTTCAGCTAGTCCACTTTAAAATGGGAATATGGAAAGAATGTTTGTCATGTTTTCTTTGCTATTTTTTTAATGGATTAGTGTTCAGATTTCTACATGTGATATGCTTTCCACTTCTCAGTACTGCCAGAAGCATATATATTCATGTGTTCATACGCAGCAATTTTAAACGGCAATCCTTTTTAAACTCTTTTTTTTTTTTTTTTTAACCTACTTACGACACACTAGGAAAGCTGGCATGAGGATTTCACGTAGCTGTAGGCTTGCCACAAGTCCAAAAAAGCCCCAAGTCAAAAAAAGCAGTATCCACTATGTGAAAGTGGATGTATGGGTTTATTTCCACAGAGCCCAGAGAAATGAATCAAGAAGGTTAAATTAAAAGACAAACAAATGTATTAATCACTTCCTTATCTGGTTTCCCACTGGATCATATCTTAATGGCATCTTCTAGATGGAGCCTTTTGAAGGAATGTTAATATTTTATATAAGGAGGACTAATAAGTAGCAGTGAAATGCAGCTTGAATGATTAAATCCCCTGAAGGAATGGTGCTTGTGCCATTCCCCTTGCATGGGACACATTTCTAATTCACCATAACTTCGGTGTATTTACTAAATAACATGATGTTTTATGCTGGGGCGCTTGTGCTTCTGTTTGGAGAAGTCCTTTTGAAATGGTTTTTACCTTTTGTATTTCCTCTTTTATTTTGGGTGTCCATAGCAAAGAAGTAATTAATTAATTAAAGATAGGATTACTGAAATTCCGTCTGTCTTATCAGTCAGCTAGTTTGATGTGATTATTAAGGCTGGATATATTGGTTGGAATAACTTGTGAGTGAATGGTTCACCCCTCTTCTACCCCCCTCCCTTTCTTCAGGAACTTGGATGAGTGATACACTTCTAGAAGCTGCATAAATTTTCTTCAGGATTAATAGAGTGAAATAAATGCTGACTTTCCCCCCCACCCCTCAGGTTGCCCTTGTTCTGCTCTTCAAGTCAAATGTCACCTTGACTCAAGTCCAGTATTGGAAGCCTGCGGGGAACTGCAACACATCAGCCCGGCACAATGTATCCATCAAACTGGAAGGAAGCCCAAAACCAAAACTCCCCTGGCCAAAATGCATCCTCTGCAGAAACCCCAAGGCAAGTGGCTTTGTCCTTCTAGCAATTGTACTAGCGTCTATTGCTTGTGAAGTATAATATTTTGAAATTAATTGTTTTATTTTGGATCATAGCAAAACAGTTATTTTTATGTTCTAAGGTTCAAACACAGCTGGTAGGGTTTTATTATCTTCATTTTTCCCAGTGTTAGATAACCACTTAGGGAAGCCTTCAAGAAGTAATTGATTCAGGAATAACAGGTTACTTGTCAATTTATATTTCCTGTACTGTTGTTATACCTCATGCAGCTGTGAAGTGTAAGTTTAATTTAGCAATATTGTTTTCATTCTTTAATATTTTTTTAAGTGTTTAGGTAAGAATAGCTTATTGTTTAAACTGATCTGTTTTCCATTTATTGTAAGAACTAGGCATAGCAACAGGAAATGCCTAAATGGAACAAATGTATTTTGAAAGTGAGAAATAGAAGCTAAACTGGTCACATGCAAGGGTAGCATGTGGGCTGTGGTAATTCCACAGACCTGCCAGACTCATAGTGGAATAGGTGGATGGTAGAAGAGAAGCCAGGGAGAAGCGTGTTCCAGCTTGTCTCCAGACAGATCTTCCAGTCTCCCCAGGCTTTTCTTCCCTAAAACTTTTGAATTCTAG